TGAGTAAATATGATGATGATAAAAAGCGTGAGAATTGGAAGAACAATTTCAGATACAGCGTTAGAAACCCGTATGTTAAAACCGATGAAGATTTGGATTTATTGACTGATAAGGGTAATTATCCCTATGACTACTTTGATGATTTTGAAAGATTTAAGGAAAGGGCTTTACCACCGAAAGAAGCGTTTTACAGTAAATTGAGTGAAGAACATGTAAGCGATAAAGATTATGAAAGGGCACTGAAAGTATGGAAGCACTTCGGGATTAGAACACTCGGGCAGTATCACGACCTGTATTTAAGAACTGATGTTTTACTACTGACCGATGTATTTGAAAACTTTAGAGACTTGTGTATGGAATACTACGGTTTAGACCCCGCTCATTATTACACATTGCCAAATTTCGCATGGGACGCGATGCTTATAAAAACTGGTGTTGAAATAGAACAATTGCATGACCAAGAAATGTTTGAGATGGTTGAAAAGGGAATGAGAGGAGGAATGTGTCAAGTCAGTCATAAATTAGCGGTGGCAAATAATAAGTATATGGGGGAAGCATATGATGAGAACTAGCCATCAAATTATATTAGCTACTTGGATGCTAATAACTTGTATGGTTTAGCAATGTCCCAGAAATTACCGCTAAAAAATATCAAGTGGGCAAAGAAAACGCCCAGTGTTGAAACATGGAATGAAAACGATGAGTTCGGTTATATTATGGAAGTTGATTTGGAATATCCCGAAACATTGCACGACTTCCACTCTGACTATCCACTAGCGCCTGAAATAATGAATGTAAATGTTATTATGCTTTCTGATTATCAAAAGCAAGTCTACAAAATATATTATGATGGCAAAAATCCCAAGGATGAGAAAACAAGTAAGTTAATATTAAATCTAAAGGATAAAGAAAAATATGTGGTTCATATCAAGACTTTACAGTATTAATTGAAAATGGGAATGAAAATGACAAAAGTCCATAGGATAATAAAATTTCAACAGAGGGCATGGTTGAAACCGTGGATTGATTTTAACACAGGTAAAAGGAAAGAAGCCAAAAGCGATTTTGAGAAAGATTTATTCAAATTAATGAATAATTCTGTGTATGGAAAAACTATGGAAGACAAACGAAATCATATGGACTTTGAATTAGTTGATAATGAAGTTAGATACGAAAAATGTGTTAATAATCCAACATTCAAAAATAGATTTATTATTAATGAAAACCTTGTAGGAGTTGAAAAAACTAAAGCGAAGCTGAAACTGGACAAACCGATTTTCTTAGGAATGACAATCCTTGACATCAGTAAATTACATATGTATCAGTTTTACTATGATGTATTGAAAAAGAAGTATAATGAAAACATCAAATTGATATATACTGATACTGACAGTTATGTAATTCAAACAATGACTGATGATGTCTATAAGGATTTCAATGATATAAAGCAACACATGGATTTTAGCGACTATCCACCTGAACATCCATGCTTTGACAAAACTAATAAAAAGGTCTTAGGAATGTTTAAGGACGAAGTGAATGGAAAAATCATTACTAAATTCATTGGATTAAAACCTAAATCTTATGCCTTCACAATTCATGGTGAGGATGATGAACATAAGAAATCAAAAGGTGTAGTCAAACACAAAGTTAGAAAAGAACTGTCGTATCAGAACTACCACGAAGCATTATTTCAAAACAAAAAGCATGAGATAACATATAATTTTATTAGGAGTAAGTCGCATCAAATATATTCAATGTCTCAAGTCAAGCAATCTCTCAGTAATTATGAAAACAAAAGGTTTTATAGTGATGCTTTCACTTCATTACCTTATGGGCATTATTCCATAAAATAATTATCTAAATAGTTCTACTAATATGAAATTATTAGAATTATTTCATGTTGTTGGTTGTAGTTGTGATGGATAGTTTCATGTGATTATACCTATTTAGATATTTTTTAGGGAAACTGAAGGTTAAAAGAGAGGGACACCCAACCCATCCCAACACCTGAAAGGCGACAGTCGCATAGGCGAAGGTCAGCATGTCTTCCCAACCTCGGCGCGGTGGTCAAATGCGGAGATTACCAAAAGGAGAAACGGTGGGTGAACTCCCCAATTAAGGGGGGCGAACTCCCCAATTAAGGGGGGCGAACTCCCCAATTAAGGGGGGCGAACTCCCCAATTAAGGGGGGCGAACTCCCCAATTAAGGGGGGCGAACTCCCCAATTAAGGGGGGCGAACTCCCCAATTAAGGGGGGCGAACTCCCCAATTAAGGGGGGAATGGCTCACACAGCAAGGTCTGGCTCACACAGCAAGGTCTGGCTCACACAGCAAGGTCTGGCTCACACAGTAAGGTCTGGCTCGCACAGCAAGGTCTGGCTCACACAGACATTTAAATTAAACCTGAAACCCAGACCAGCCGACCAGCAACCCCCTAGCCAAAACTACTTAAAGAAATATTACCTTATATATTAAGAGAAAAATGAACGGTGATGGAATCAATAATTATATCGATAAAAAATGCTATGATTGTTGTCACTTCAAAAAAGAAAATATGGAATTGTATAAATTGAATTTACCTAATGAAATAGTGAATAATATTATTAATTATTCAATGGATGAAGAAGATTTATGTAAAATTTGTAGAAATTGGAGATATTATCAAGAATTAATCAGATGTCTGTTGGGAATAAAAAGAATTCGACATAGAAATGTAGAAGATGATATTTTAATATTTCTAACTGTAAATAAAATACCACCTTATGATTATGTTAAACAGTTTCTTAAAATTAGTAAGAAAAAATATGAAATGATGGATGATATATTATGGTTGTTGTGTTATAGTCAAGGTAAAGGAGAAGATGTTAAAGAAAATATCAAATTATTTATTGAAAGTAAAAAGTTTAATGTTCAGAATACAGTGAGAGATGTTAATAATATTTTTAAAATGATGTATGAAAGAAGAAAGATTTGTGAATTAAATTATTATCCTGTACTGAAATTATAATCATAATATAATAATAACATGTAAAATATTATATGTTATAATTATATTGAACTTTTAACCTATAACACCCCTTAAACTTATCTAAAGAAATAACCCCTTAAACATATAGAGACCAATGACAGACAAAAAGCAATGTTCCAAATGTAAAGTCTTTCAATTGTTAGAAAAGTTCAACGAGGGAAGAAAACAATGCAATGTATGCTTGGAAAATAAACTACGGTATAGAGAAGCACACAAAGAACAAATACAGCAGAAGGCAAAGGTTTATTATGAACAAAACAAAGAACACAGACAAGCATATAGGAAAGAATACATCCAAAGGAAAATTGAATGTCAATACTGTAGATGTATGGTAAGCCCTCAACACAAAGCAAAGCACGAAAGAACAAACAAGCATATCAATAATGTTAAGAATCCAAAACCACCAAAGAGAGAAGAAACACCAAAAGAAAACAAACAAACAACACAGAAACAAATTAGAGAATACATAGAAACCTCATCAGATTTTGAATATGACTTCAACAAAGAATAGGATAAAACAAAAGCACCACCAACATCCCAGAACATTATAACTACTAAAAGGGCTACCTCTTTCAAATGAAAAAAATGTTTGCCCCCAGCCCAACAATGAACAAGGCGACAATTTACCCAAATGATTACCTTAACGAAAACGATAAATAAGCTCCCCAAAAACCCTCTTTTAAAAACGAATAAGGTGGTTAATAGGTTTGAGATGAACATAAAAACCAGAACAGGCAACCATCAACAGGCTTCCCCTCAGGGCCCCTACTTTCTCCATTTTTTGGGGGAGGGGTAGTAACGTTCGATGTTGACGAGATGCAAGGCATCACGTATACGTTGTTTGGGGGGGTGCGGGAGGGGGGAGGGGGGGGGTGCGGGGAAGGGTAGTAACGTTCAATGTTGGCGAGATTCAAGGCATCATGTGCGGTCGATGAGAAAGAGTGAGCGGCTGATCAACTTCTTTTGCAGCTTAACATGGGCGTGCGTTTGGCAAATGAGCTGTTTTCCTCTGCCTTTTTGCAATTCTGCGTTCACAAACGCACGACGCCTGAGTGGCGTCCTTCCCTCTTCTTTTTTTAACGGAATCTGTCACTACTGGAAATATGTTTGTTCCAGGGCCTTGAGCAAATGGAAGTGTATCTTAGTCACTGCCCTCCTTGATTGGTGGCACGTTTCTCAGCCATCGGAGCTCAGGCAGCTGGCCAGATGGTGCGACGCCCAGCCGGAGAGAGGCAGATAAAAGGCTCTAGGTGCTCTCCTCTCTCCACTGGCTTCCATTCGGTTAAGAATAGGTTGTTGTTGTTTCTTTAAACAAACAAAACTATGTTTGGTTTAAAGGGAATCTATCACTATTGGAAATATTGAAATATTGTTGTTCTTTTTCCGGGGGACTTAAGCAAATGGAGGCTGGCCTTATGCTCACACGGCTCTCCTCTCTAACTTCGGCTCAGGCCCTTAGCATGCGGAGATAGACACATGGGAGCAAAATGGCGCCTTCACACACACACAGGAATGTCTTGCATGTGGCGTTGAAATCCGGGGGCATCTGAATATTCGGTTCTTGGCACAGTTCCTCCTACCCGTTCAAAAAAAGATACTTGGTTCTGTTGCTGCTGCCTTGCGGTATTCACTCAAGGCCAGGCTCGTTGTGTTCAGATCCAGCGGTGGAATCGCAAAGATCTAGAGCCAGCAGAAATGCTTAGATGTGAGCGACAAAACGGCACCGGAGGGAGGGTGGCAGGCCCCCCCCTGGTTTCAAGAATCCTCTCCATCCCAATTGGCTTATTATTGCGATCAAAGAACAATCCAGGCAGGGTGTTGTGCTTACTTACTTGGTAAGTTTATTCACCAGACAAACCCCAGTTACAACCCAATCCAATTTGTTCGCAGAAACTAACAAACTACAATGACACCCCTCGGCAAAGGCATTCTCCTTGCAGGTTTGCCGTGAGCTCGCGCGCGTTTCGCCATGGCCCGTCGGAGATCGGATCTGGAGCCCTCGGTCCGGCTCTATGTGGTATCCACGGGGTGGCCCTACAAGCGCTCTCGGCAGGGCATGAGCTGTTGGGATCCCGGAAAGCCGCCGGCTGGGATCTTTTTTCGGGCACCCCCCCGCAAAAAAAAGAAAGGAGAATAGAATGGTGGCAATAATTAATGATGATATGGTTGCCCGCTTTGAATTCCTGAAAAAACCATACCATTGGGCAACCTCAATAGTAGACACACTCATTTGTGCTTCTTTGGGAGGTGTTTTACGCCTTCGGGCTTAGTTTCGTGGCGACTCCGCCACCTCACAATCGGCTGCCCTTGGGGGAGGTGGGGTCAAAGCAGATGACACAACACTCCGACATGCTTATTTGATCAGCCCAGACAAGAGCACCATCCACTTCCCTCAGCTGTTGTCCATTGGGTTGAAGAACTCCTCGCGTGTGAGGCTGCACCAGGATTTCGCTTGAAGCCGCTCAAGTTCTTATCAGATTGTTGTCCTACGTAGCCTCTTAGTATATGTTCCGGTCCGCCAACCAACGCTCCTTAACCCCTCAGTCCGGATCCGATCAGGTTGCGTTCCGTTCGGAGATTAGGATCCTTCTTTGCCAACCAGAAGTCGTCATTTGAGGATGTGTGTAAGCAGAATTCTGTTGGGACGATTAATTGAAGCCAAAAGGAAAACAACAGGAACACCGTTTGTTGGGGGCTCCATATCCCATTTGGAGACACGCCCATCTAGGCGGCATTCACTTGAGGTGATTCATGTCCACCAACCAGTGAGGCAGGTTGTTAAATTTCAAAGCCATAGTCGCAATCAATACCTCGATGAAGATTATGAAGCGACAATCCCAACCATGTTCACAGGTGTCCCTTTTGGTCGTTTTTGGTTGAACAATTGATGGCCCTGGTTTACCTGGTGGTTGAATCATATACCAGGGAAACCCATCTATTGCCCCTTAAAGGACACCTATGACCATGTTGGTCTCCAGCAAGGCTCCATTGGACTGGGAAACGGTTTCCCCGAAGTTCCGCTTCGTCTGCATCGAGGCCCAGCCACTCGCCCTTCCGCCCCAAGCTGCTACTCTACGGCAGTCGAGCCACTGGCTCGGGAGCCTTCGAGGGATGTCTGCAGGCGGCGCCGCTGTGCCAGAGGCGAGCCAAAGTTCGCCTGGGGCAAGGGCCCATTCTCTAGTGGAAAGGCATCTTTAGACAACCTTTTGAGATACCCCGGATATGTCCTAACCAGAAGTTGAACTTCTTGGCTGGCGGATCGACAGCACCCAAGCATTGAAGTGACAGCTTGGCCATGTGCTTTCCGTAACACAAACAAAATAGTACGGGTGGTCCAACCACGCTTTGTGTGGGCGGATTCTACACGTCCTTGTCTTGTGATTCACTTGGGTTTTTGTTCAAAGTCAGATCCGAATGTTCCACTCTCAGGATCCCAGGAAACTCTCTAGCGCTTCATGGTGCCTTTCCTTGAACCCCCGGGTGAATCCAGAGATTGACGTAACAAAAGCGACCTTGCTGGAGATACAAGAGCTTGAGTCCCAAACAGTACTCTGTCTATTTCTCGTAAACCCTCCCAAAGTACGCACCAACGCTTCGTACACCAACGGATACGTGGACGCGGAGAGACGCAATGCCGGGAACGCCTCAAAGCACTCGACAGGCTGCTGCGACCAGACCACGACTGCCTCTTCCTGGTGGACGTGAGCGAGGTGGCGGGACCGAAGGACCGAAGGACCGAAGGAGCGATCAGGCGAGCGAACCCCTTTATGTTTATTGTCTGTGTTTGAGTGTTGGGTCCGTAAGCTTGGTTGCTTCAAGTTAAGTTACATGTGAGTCTGCATGCAGAAGGAGGGTGGGTGTGTCCCTAAACTGTGAAGCCCTCAAATGGATATCTTTGGTAGTATTCCTTCTAAACGCATCCACAACAGCATCGTGCATCAGGCAGAGCAATGTTAAGGAGGCCCTGTATGGGTGCACCTGGTGTACTTTCTTGGTTTTCAGAGAGATAGAGAGAGAGGTAGCGTTCAAAGAATGTGCAACTCACCTCTCGGTTTCCACACCGTTTGGAGCGTCTATCCCTGTGCGCAAATGTTTGGCGACTAAGGCCCCTACATGCAGGGGGTTGCAAAGCCTCGCTCCTCACGTTGATCCCCTTGTCGTGGCCGCGTCGCCGACTTTCGCCGGCCTTCCGCTCCGATCGGGAGATTCCATGTCGAAGCGCGGTCGGTGCCGGCGGCTGCAAAGAAAACAGCAGAGGGAAAAGCTTGACGAAGAGGTTTTCAGGCACTTGCAGCTGCGAGCGGCCTGGATCGCGTGGGCTTGAAAATGGATGAAGGATGAAGAGCGCGACCCCAATCGCAACGAGCGTGCAAGCGCCAGAAAAAATATCAACGAGCGTGCAAGCGCCAGACGAACAAGTATTTGTTTATTATTATTTTTTTTAAAGGAAACAAAAACTAGCAACGACCGTGCAAGCGCCAGAAAACAAATAAACAAAAAACACACTGCACGTGAGTTCGATGGCTGGACAGAAAACATGGCCCGCTGGAGGAAGCCCTGTCAAATTGAAACTGGGAATCGCCGTTTCGCCAGCTCTTGCTGGGTTGCTTGAAAGCTCAGCCAGACGCGTTGGTTTCCAATCTTGGCACCTCCACCAAGCATGATCAAGCATGCTATGCTTTCCCACCATGGACCCGCAAGATGTGCCCTTACCAATCAGATTTGCTTTTCTTTGGATGAAAAGGCGGCGACCGAGTTTAGGACGTTTGTTTGCATATATTTGTCGACCAGTCTTGTTATTGTTTGCGGCTTTGATGGGGGCGGGGCAGCTAAGGTTGGAGCGCTCTGTTTGTTGCTTCCAATATTTTGTTTCATTATATCTCTGTTTTTGCCTCTCTTTCTTTCCACTCTCTGTCTTTCTCTTTGTCTCTGTCTTCTCTCTATCTCTCTCTTCATCTTTCTTGGTGTATCTTCCTCTTCTTGCCTCTCATGTGTTTGTTCTTATCGTTTTCTTCCTTCTCCTTTTTTCGCTTTTTTCGCTCTTCTCCTGTTGCTCTTGCATGTTTCCTTCATTACTTCCTTGTTTCTTTTGTTTCTCTTCCTTAGCTAGTTATCCTTCTAGTTATCTTTCTCCTTCTGTTTATCTTTCTCTTTCACTTTCTCTCTCTCTCTCTCTCTCTGTTAGAGCAGTATCGCAGGTATCAAGCTTGGGATTCCTTTCTCACTGGCTTGTGGCGGCATTTGTCCTGGGGATTGTTAAATGTTTGCAGAACAAAGTGTGTCGTTTCAATGTGCCATGGTCGAAAGAAACTGTCGTTTGCGGTTTGACAGCTGAGATAAAGTTGTCCATTGTTGGAACCAAGACTTGTTGGCCAAAGCTTTTTGGCGTATCTTACTCGGTGCATGCGAGCATGCACACGGTTGGCGATTCGCCCACCAAGCAGATGTTGAAGATTCCTACATATCTTGGGAAGACTACGAGTTACTGCCAAGAGGGCATTTCGCTGATCCGCCTTGTGTTTTCATATTATGTAGGGATGATGCTTCGTTCGAAGGCGTGGTTTCGTCTAGGCGCCGTGCATTTTCGGCCAAAAGCCCTTTGAGATGTTTTCAGCCCAGTGATCTGCCAGGAGACGCACATGTGTACCTAAACCACCACGCGGAAATACCGCAGGCGCATGTTGACGCCTCCACTTGAGCAGGAGGTCTTATTAGTTGGCAGGCGTGCGTACGGCGCCGAGCGCGTGCGTTGAGCGAGGATTATGGAGTTTGTGCAAGGACTGAGCATTGGTGGGGAACACTCTATTCTCTGTTTGAATTGTGGCACAGTGTTGTGGTTGCGCCCTGGTGCTACTTGCAATATTTGGGGCATCCACCAAAGCTCGGTCCACCCTGCAGAGGACTGGCAGGAGGAGTTGATTCGGCCTGGCCGGGCCCGGCGCATGTTGGAGAGGCAGAGGAGGGTTGACACACGTACTGACACACCATGGGTACTTGACTGCTATTGGGTTGGATCTTTAGACTTTAACTTGTTGGGAAATCAAGGGATTTCCATCAAACTCCCCAAAAGGTTTTTGTTTTGCAGGGGGGTCAGCAGCGACAAAGGTTAAAGTACTACAAACATCACCCTATCTTACCGGCAAACTTTCTTCACGTTGGTGTTCGTTCTCGGCCAAGTTACGTGGCGACCTAACTTTTCGACCTCGCACTTGCTGAACTTTGCTTGGTTTGGTGACATAATCAGGTTGGCGAATCATTGTTGCTGTTACTGAGACTGTTTGTGGTTTTGCTGGGTGTGTGAATTGTGCAGCTGGTGGTAGGTACCAGCCAACATAGTTGTTTGGATTCCTCGTAAAATGAGATAAGCCTTATTTGTTTGTCGGTGGCTTCCTTTTTGTTTCTCTTAAAATCCTACAAAGTGGTCCGGATTTGCAGGAAGACACATGTTCTGACCCGCAAGCAGTCGTGCTCCCAGGGTTTCCTTCGGATTTCCTTCGGCCCGGAGGTGGTTTGCCAAGTTCAATTGCAAGGAGGCCACCGTCCTGGCGTGCCTTGGCTTTTCCGCGGAGTGATGTCGTGTCATTCAAGACCTCACTTCCTAAGTGTTGCGTTGACAAGAAACTTGTGGGACGATCAGTCCACACACTCCGAAAAGGGTGAGATACTTTGCCTTGTCTGCTTTCCCAGGACAACATACTGGGATGAACACGTTTTGAACACAGATGACCAAGTTGACAGACAAAGGTGTTAACAGACGTCATTTCACTTGAGCAAAAGCCCTTAACGACATTCCTAGCTGGTGGTTCTAGTGGATACGCGCATGAGTACTAGAGTACCCACCGCGCTTCGCTTTCCCGCTTTTGTCATTGGATGGCAGCAATGCAATGTAATGTAATGCAATGCAATGCAAGGCAAGGCAAGGCAAGGCAAGGCAGGGCAATGCAATGCAATGTAATGCAATGCAATGCAACAGAGCAACCGCAAACAGGTGCGGAAAATCGGCCCCGCACCGATACACCGATACACCGACACAGCGCACCGCTACACCGAGACACCCGCACAGCGCACCGATACACCGACGCACCGATACACAGACAGATACAGCGCACCGATACAGCGCACCGATGCACGGCACCGATACAAAGGTACAGCGCACTGATACACCGATATACTGATACACCGGTACGCCGGTACGCCGATACACCGCACCACTATACACCGATACACCGATACACGGTTACACCGATACACCGCACCGATACACCAATGCACCGATACACCGCACCGATACACCAATGCACCGATACAGCGCACCGATACACCGATATACAGCGCACCGATACACCGACACACTCATTCACTGATGCAGCTCGCCGATACACCGAAAAGCCGATGCACGGATACAGCGCACCGATATGCTGATACACCGATTCACGGATACACCGACACAGCCCACTGATAGACCAAGACACCGACACAGCGCACCGATCCACGATATGATAAACCGCACTGTCACACTGCTACACCGGCACACCTCGCTTTGAAAGGGCCTGCAGTATCTGGTGCGCGTGTTAACACTTCATGGCACATAGCGTGCCTGCAGCGGTTCTCGTCGCCTGTCCTGCAAGTATTGGCACAAGCCACTAGCAAGGGCCATTCGCGCCACCGCTCTGCAGCTTCACTGTGCCAGCCTGACGAGCCCTCTTTTGGCGTGCAGAGGGTTGTTTTGAACACTGAGGTGGACCATGGGAAGCGTGCGCGGAACGTGCGGAGGTCGCCAGAAGGGCGGCCCGCGGATCAAACTCGCATGATTTGAATCATTTGGATGCACAACTACTGCAAGTGGCAGTCTTTGTGCCTGTCGTTTGTCCAGCTGCGTCGGCCCATCGCCGCATCAAGTAGAATTTCCGGATGGGTTCCATCCATGAACGAAGGCCACCCTCCGAATGTATTCACGGAACGTCATGGAGAGGTCTTTTCGGGAAAGGGGCCACCTCGGGTTTGCAAACTCTGCGTTATTTTGAAGTTAGCACAGTTTTTCAATTAAGGCGCAGCCCATTTACATGGAGACCACGCCTATCGTCAGTCCAGCTAATAATTAATATTTTCGCGGGACGAAGAGTGGCTTAATAATTCAGTTTCATGTTGACTGTTAGAGCCCCTTGGGCTCGTTTTTCCAAGGAGCCTGAGCCTGCTGCAGCCCCTTTTTGCTGCACAGCTTTGGTTTTGACTTCAATGTCCTCCAGGACAGATGCCGAGGCGAGATTCTTGATGTGACGTTCATTGGAGCTAGAGTGAGGCGAAGTGAGCTTTGCGCTGCCCAGGCAGAGGTTGAAGTAGCATCGCTCTCAGATGCTACTTCAACCCTGGCGCTGCTTGCTGATCTTGTTCAGGGCCTTCAACAGGGCCATGGGCGATGAGCGCCGCGCATTTTTGCTGCATTTGTATAGAGTGCTTCTGGCACATAGCCTGACAGTCCCATGCCTCAGGCTGTACAGACATAAACTGTGGCGTGCTTGCCAGATGTATCTTGTCAGTCCTGGACTGGTATGGACTGGGCTCAAGATGTGTGTGCAGATTGGCCTGCAAATGCTCCACGGTCCCTGAAGCGTTCAGAGACTCCTGACGCCTGGTCACTGGGCCCATGGATGGCCTCACGGTTTCGCTATGTCTCACTGTTTTACCCAGCTGTATCACGAGACGGCTCTTTCGCCGAACTTCAAGCCGGCGGCGCTTGCAAAGCATGTGAAAGTGGGTGCATTTCTCTTGCTGTTTGGTTCCTTTTTTGATGCCACTGATGCGGTTGCTGCCTGCTGCCCCTTTATACGGGGGGTTAGTCTTTGGGAAGCCCTTTCTCTAGTGAAGGAACATTGGTTGTCTTTCTGGTTTCTTTCAGCGCGCGCCCAAAAAGGGGTACCCTGAAGAAGCACACGCCCTGATCAATCCTCAAACTCATGTGGTTTGTGGGAGAGGCAAGTGAGACCGGTGTACCTTGCCAAGCACATGGGCGCCACATATCTAGCCCTGTCTTGAAGGGGTTCCCTTTCATAGTGTCATGTCCCTGAAGAGAATCCAGAGACACCCTATAAACCAATCGTCAGTAGCCCCAAAAGATTGCGCCGCAAGACAAGATGTGGGAAAACCGAGCGTTTGACACAGACTTAACCCGAGCGTTTGAATGGCAAGCGGTTTGCTCACTTCAACCTTCCAAAAATTGCGGACTTGCGCTTCGGTTCCTTGCGGCTGGGAAGTCCGCCGTCTCTTTCTCCGTGCTTGGTATGATTTGTTCATGTGTTCAGCAGGAAGTTTTGATTTGAGAGTTCTTTCCCTTCAGGACTTGTAGATCCGCTTCCCTGGCTTAGGTCCAAGGTAGCCTGTTTCGATTCTGCAACAGCAAGGCCAGGGAGAGACATGGCGGGGGGCTGGCACTTGGGGACTCCGTGGAGGATTTCCTTGGCTGGAGCTGTACGTAGTGCTCATTCCAGATGATTGCGGCCTGCTGTTATCAAAAAGAAAAAGTGTAGGATGTGCCCCCGGTCAGGACAGCCTTGGGCTTGGAGACTCGGCTCTACTGCCACCTGCAGTGCCGCGCGGCGCTCGCGAAGGACGCACAGCTGCACTCTCTTTTTTGTGAGTAGCCAAAGCTTGCTACGGTAGCTACGGTAAGTTTCCAAAGCTTCACGAGGGCCTCTCTGGTCACGGCTTGCCGTGGAGCCGACCAACTGGGTGTCAGCTGCCAGAGCCTGCAGTTGGTTCGATCCATGTCCATGCCAGCCAACTCGTACAGACCCCGTTTCAAACAGATTCTTCATGAACAGCATATACACCTTTAAGAGCGTTTCAGGTCGTTAAATACGTGTATCTCCTTGCTGTAAAAATGCAAGGGCCAGCTCGTGGTCATCAACGAGCAGCATGTGAAAGCTCAAATCTTGCATTCGCCGTTGCAAGAAGGCGCCGAGGCGCGCGCTGTGAAATGTGGAGAAAACACACCGAAACACACACACACACACACACACACACACACACACACACACACAGACACACACACACACACACACACACACACACACACACACACACACACACACACACACACACACACACACACACACACACACACACACCACACACACACACACACACACACACACACACACACACACACACACACACACCCCACACACACACACACACACACCCGCACACCCGCACACCCGCACACCCACACCCGCACACACCACACCCGCACACCCGCACACCCGCACACCCGCACACCCGCACACCCGCACACCCGCACACCCGCACACCCGCACACCCGCACACCCGCACACCCGCACACCCGCACACCCGCACACCCGCACACCCGCACACCCGCACACCCGCACACCCGCACACCCGCACACCCGCACACCCGCACACCCGCACACCCGCACACCCGCACACCCGCACATGCACACCCGCACACCCGCACACCCGCACACCCGCACACCCGCACACCCGCACATCCGCACACCCGCACACCCGCACACCCGCACACCCGCACACCCGCACACCCGCACACCCGCACACCCGCACACCCGCACACCCGCACACCCGCACACCCGCACACCCGCACACCCGCACACCCGCACACCCGCACACCCGCACACCCGCACACCCGCACACCCGCACACCCGCACACCCGCACACCCGCACCCGCACACCCGCACACCCGCACACCCGCACACCCGCACACCCGCACACCCGCACACCCGCACACCCGCACACCCGCACACCCGCACACCCGCACACGCGCACACGCGCACAGGCGCACACGCGCACACGCGCACACGCGCACACGCGCACACGCGCACACGCGCACACGCGCACACGCGCACACGCGCACACGCGGACACGCGGACACGGACACGCACACGCACACCCACACCCACACCCACACCCACACCCACACCCACACACACTCACACTCACACTCACACTCACACTCACACGCACACACACACACACACACTCACACACTCACACTCACACACTCACACTCACACACTCACACACTCACACACTCACACACTCACACACACACACACACACACACTCACACACACACACTCACACTCACACACACACACACCCACACACACACACACATGTGAGTCATGTTCTGCGGAAGCGGGCTTGACCAGCCTCAAGGAGGGGACGTTGCTTGCCAGGTATGATATCGCCACGAAAGCCAGGCTCGCCGTGCTCCATCTCAACGATCTCGGACTGCACGAACTACACCACAGAGTCGGAGGTGTTCGGCTGCACTAAATCTGCAAAAACTTACGGTGACACCCTGACTCTCACAAGCCTCTCGAATCCTGGAGAATTCCAGGGACCCACTCACCCCCACCTTTTAACGGGAGTCACCAGGGGAGTTGCGTGCCCGCGACGCGGGGCAGTGGACAGGAGGTGGAGGCAGGGAACGACATGACCAAGGATTGCTTCAGTATTGCCAATAGTTTGCGTAGTTTGCCAGTACGTTGGATTGCCAGCACGTGTTTAGTAGTAGCCTGCCTCTTTGAGAAGCCCTTAGGTTTAGCGCCCCTTTAACCCCTGATACACCGATACAGCGCACCGACACACCGATGTACACGCCGATGCGCCGCAACACCGACACACCGACACACCATATACCGATACACCAGTATACCGATACACCGATACACCGATACACCGATATACCGCACTGATACACTGAAACACCGATATATTGCACTGACACACCGAGACACCGACACGGCGCACCGATACACCGATACACCGACACACCGACACTTCATAATGACACCTGGGGGGGGGTGGAGAGTTGAAACTAACCAAAAGTAAGAACAACCAACAACCATTATGGACTAGAAACTGGCTTTAAGTGAAGATGTGTGGGGTATTGAGAGCAGTTGTGAAAAGCATTGAACAGAAAAGGGCTATGATTGGAGCACCATTGCAGGCAGTAGCAAGCTTGTGATAGGCAGGCGTATGCCAAAGACGGGATACAACACATGGCGCTTTGTCTTATGCCGCGAAATATGTGTAACCAAGAGATTGAAGGCGAGGCAGTTGCAGCACACACATTCTTCAAAAGTATGATTATTCAGAGTTTCAATGCGTAGTGTTTGATGAAATCTTTTTGTCCGGTCCTTACATCTTAAACAACAAGGCAATTCGTAAATAACATCCCTGACTTAGTCAGAACTGGTGCTTGTGCTGCCAAACAAGTGCCAAGCCTTGAGCCTTTCACCAACACAGGACGCAGGCGAACACATTGACAAACACATCAACGTAATCTTCGAATACAAGATATTCTTAAACTATTTTGAAGAAGGCGAGAGGAACAGAACGCCATCAGATTTAACCTTTGATGAGTTGTGGGTGAGAGATATGAACATGTGCGACTGGATAGTCAAGAATTTCAACATTGCAAAAGATATCATGACTGGGTACTATAACATAGCATACACACATATCAGATGTCAAGCAGTATCAGATGAAACCAGGAACATATTAGGCAAACTAAACAGAATATGGAATTGGAGGAATTTTGCATATGGAGACTTTATGAGAAGGACAAGGAAGGAACACTGAGTATAATTGTTTAAGATGGGCAACCGTTAGCATAAAGGATCACAACGGAGAATACATTCAAGATTTTCAAGACACAGAACATGTTAGAGAAGGCAGTGCTGATTTCAGCTGTGTGGCGTAACTTGTTTTCGCAACGCTGAGCGGTAAAGTCGGAACTTTAATGTTCAACTTTGTGTATCTAGACAAACTTTTAGCCCACAGCTTTGAGAACATCCCTTCAAATATGTTAAGCACCAGTTTTCACCAACAGAATTATCTTCATCTACTTCTTTCTGCACTTTCCTATCTTGCCGTGTATATCCTTGAATTTTGTTTTCGAAGCATTTACTTACCAAGCTGTTATGACATTCTTGAAAAATAAATATTGTCAGAATCACGGCACCAAGTTACACTACACCATGCCCACTCTTTGCATATTTAATAAAAGTTGATCCATTCGTAGATTATATAATTACCACTTAATGAAGTTCCATGTCTGCTGTAAGTTGTTGCGCAGTAAGCACACCTACGTGTATTGCTATTGTAGTACTGAAAAGTTAGACAGATAACTTATAAGATAAACAGGGATACTATGAGCAATCAATATGTTCAAAACGGTCAGATCTATAAACGCGTCAGCCCTGACAACAGCGCATGCTATGTTGGTAGCACAACCGAAGGCTTAAGTCAAAGAATGGCGAGGCACAGACAAGAATACAACAAACACTCAGATGGGCGCAATGCAACACAAGGGAAACACGGTCTATCCACTTGTTTGATGCATTTCGAGCGGAACATTCTAAAATTGAACGGATTAAAGATTGCCCTTGTAATTGCAAGTAGGAACTTGAAGCAAGAGAGTGATATTACACTCAATAACACAACTGTGTAAATAGATGCGTAGCAGGCGGACTAGGAAAGAGTATTACAATGACAACAGAGAAACAAATGGTAGCTCGAAGCGAACATTCAGTTAGCAACTCTGCAAACTACAGATAAGTGATTCGCCAAGAAAAGCCAAGGTAGCAAGGCGAATGCGAAATCGACATAACAAGATATATGTATATATATATATTTAGACAACTCGAGAAACAGACAATATGATCAGAACAACCATCTTTCATTGCAATACTAGCGCAACAAAAACAACATTTCATTGCGACTGTGGTGCCACTTGTGTGTGCAGTAGGAAGGCAAGCCGTTGTAGAAGCAACAAACACCAAGAACGGTTGAAGCAACAAGGACCTGACATAGAAGCATAACTAGAAGAAGTATATTAAGATAATATCTTATTTGCCTTTATAGCATCTAAACAAGACAGTATAGCACATATGTAAAATGTCCGTGCTGGAATTTGTAGTCGTGCCTGAACTACAAGACTGCAGAGAAAGATGTAAAACTACAACCATATCTGACATGGATGAGGTCTTTAGAAAGAACATTGAAGAAAAGGACAACCTAAAGGGTTGAGTTCATCACAAATTACCAATATCAGTTTGATTTTGTTCTTCTCCACGCATTAATGGTAGATATATGTTCAACATACCAATGCCAAGCAAGAAGGAAGGTGATGTAGCATGCGCATGAGTTCTAGATTCTAAGAATATGGGTAATCTCAGCGAATTGCTTTTTACTGGTGATGAAGGTGCCTTCAATACAAACAGTAACACAGTACAATACTATTCGAAGGAACAAGGGGGAGAACATTTTACAACACGAGGGCACGCTTCCTTCAGTGAAGTCGCCGTTCAATCATCTAGAAGGATTTTGCGTGACAGAGTTGAAGCAGACGAAAGGAAGCGTTAAAAAATATAGACTGGCATGCCTCTTAGTTGGTCTTAGGGCTGGCTGGTGGGGTGCCTCGGCGAATCGGCGTAGCAGCGTAGCGGTATCGGCGTAGCGGCGTATATGGGCGCAACGGCGAATCGGCGTAGCTGCGCCGGCGTAGCTGTGTGTCCGGCGAATCGGCGCGACGGCGAATCGGCGTAGCGGCGTGTAGCTGCATACCGGCGTAGCGGCGTAACGGCGTAGCCGCGTATCGGCGTAGCGGCGTATATCGGTGTAGCAGCGTATAGCTGCGAATCGACGTACGGCGTAGCGGCGACACCCGGCGTATCCGCGTAGCGGTGTGCCGGCGTATCGGCGTAGCGGCGTATCCGCGTAGCGGCGTAGAGGCGTACCGGCGCAACTGCGTGGCAGCGTATCGGCGAATCGGCGAAACGGCGTCTCCGGAGCGGCGTAGCAGCGAATTGGCGTAGTCGTATCGGCGTATCAGCGTACCGACGTAACGGCGTAGTCTGAGGCAGGCAAACCGGCGTAGCGGCGTATCGGCGGGGGGCGGTTTTTCGCTCCTGTTTGCACGAGCGCTGCAACGCAATGCAATGCAATGCAACGCAATGCAATGCAACGCAACGCAATGCTACGCAGCGCAGTGTAATGAAATGTAGTGCAACGCAACGCAATGCAATGCATTTCAATGGAATGGAACGGAATGCAATGATAATGTTGCAACGCAATGCAACGCAATGTAACGCAAGGTAATGCAGCACAACGCAATGTAATGTAATGTAGCGCAACGCAATGGACTGCAGTGTAATTAGTGTACCGTACTGCAATGCAACGCACTGCAATGTAATGTACTGTACTGCAACGCAGTGTAATGTAATGTAATGTAACGCAATGCAACGCAATGCCATGCAATGTTATGGCATGAAATGCAACGTAACGGAATGTCCTGTAATGTATGTATATAGCTTATACACACCGTCTTATTCGGCTCGAGGTATGGCGAAGACGCGGAGCTCTGGGCGCCGTTGCTGGCGCTCCACGGGGAGCTCCGCGTCGCGCGGCTGGTCCTCGCAGACGGCGAGGCGTCGGGCAGCGCCAAGGCCCAGGCGGAGAAGGCGAAGGCGGAAGTGGCACGCACGGGCGGCTTGCGGGGGGGGGGGCTGGGCGGGCTTATGGTGGTTTTGCGAGGTCTTGAAGTATGGCGGGGCAGCATATTGGTTGTAACCCTGATAGGCTATAGGGCGCAAGAGGTTGGAGAATGGACGAAATATGCAGGGGGCTTGGGGGGAAGAGGTTGGATCTTTTACCTAGCATTAGCACCGTTAAGTACGAGGTGATTTTCTGTGATCAATGCACGCAGCTGGCACCGCGGTGTGCGGTGCCATGCTTTGTCGGTTTGTGTATTGAACAAGCTTCGTGAGGTTCTGGGGATTTTTCTGGCGTCTGGTTGGGGACATCCACGCGCGCGTGATCATCCTCCCTAGTGATGCGTGGTACAAGAACAGATGTGTAGCTTGAACTGTCAACTTGTCCGCCCCGTGGAATTATTCAATTTGGGGGGTGACAGGCTTTCACAAGGCAAACAACATCAACAACGATTCAGTGCTCTTCCGCATCATACTCAATTGCTGAAAGTCATGTTGTTTGACATGCAGCTACTGCCCGGGGCCGAACACAACAGGCTCTCGGGGTCCAGGTGGAGGTGCAGTCTGTTGACTCCAAGTCCATTGTAGAGGCTGTCACGCGCCTCGGAGAAGGGAATGTGCCGTGCCAGCTTGGTGAGAAACCTAGACATTTGCTTGACTGTTTTCCGCGAGTTCACCGAAAACCCATGGGTGCTTTATTTGGAGGTCCATTGTTTCTGCTGTAAGGCTTATTGTAAGAATAGGGACCTTGATAGGAGGCCAAGACATCACAGAAGGCTCTTGGCTCAAGGGCATCACGGCTCACCCGGCTTCATGCTCAGTATTGAGGTTGTGTCTGTTTGTTGTGTCATCGTTGTGTGCTGTGTATGTGTGTGTTTTGCATGTGTGTGTGGCTTTGTATGTGTCTGTGCTTCGTTGTGTGTTGTGGTATGTGTATGTATGTTGCATACCATTGCCATTGGAACGCCCATCCCTCTTGGCCCTTGGCTTTTCATGCTGCTCTCAGGTCCCAAAGTGAGTCAAACCTGGAGATCGAGGACTTGACACCCGGCAGCGGTGGGTTTGTCTCCAAATGAGCCCCACATGCCCGGTTTAGTTTACGTTTGGTCTCCGGCTTCAAATGGGTTCAAAACATGGCACCCTCCAAAACATTAACCCGTGTACAGGGCGGAATTGACCCGGGCGAGTTCTAGCTTGCGACGCCTGAAGCAAGAGTTTCTGTGTTTTGTCGCCTACGCCAACCGAGGGAAATTGAACAATCAAACGCGCGAACACCATCCTTGAAGCAATCTGATTCGAACAACGAAGATTATGCCTTGGTTAAAGGAAGTTTAGAAGGAGCTTCTGTGGCACGGTGGCCGGAGAAGATTGAGCTCGCGGGAAAATATGCATTCTCGCGTGATGGTGGAAACGTGTAGTTACTTCGCGAAGGTCTGGCCCCTTCCACACTCCACCTTTGGAGAGTTTCCGACTGGAATCGGAAAGTCAAACAAGTGCAACCATCTGCAGGTTTCTGGGCTTTGGGGTGAGTGGAAGTTAGCCTGATCGCACCGCTGGGTTGGGGAACAAGCCCGGCCCGTGGCAGGCGCAGCACTTTTGCAAGGTCGTGTGTAGATTCGTGGCAGGCGCAGCGCTTTCCCAAAGTCAAACGCAGATGCGTGACATGCGCAGCACTTTCGCGCGGTCATGTTCAGATTTGGCGGCACTCGCAGCACTCATGTGCAGATGTTATGACAGGCGCACTTTCGCAAGGTCTTGGGCAATGTAGATTTCGTGGCAGGCGCAGCACTACCGCAAGGTCAATCGCAAGCTTTCGGTTTCATGGCAGCCGGCACTTTCGCGAGACCGATGGATTGAGGCTCATTGATAGGTTGATAGACAGAGAGAGATATCTGCAGATGCATCGAACGGTAGATAGAGAAACATAATGTACCAAATGGATAGATACATACTTCGACTGGTAGAAAATCCATAGATAGAGTGGAACAGTAAGCAGATAAATAGACAGAATTCTGGAAAGTGAACAGATAAGTAGCAAGATAAATCGATACTGGGTAGACAGACAGACAGGTAGATGATAGACAGTTATAGAGAGCTAGACAGTCTTCCTCTATGGTTTCTTTTTGATCTTTTTTTGTTGTTGTTGTTGTTGTTGTTGTTGTTGTTGTTGTTGTTGTTGTTGTTGTTGCTGTTGCTGTTGCTGTTGCTGTTGCTGTTGCTGTTGCTGTTGCTGTTGTTGTTGCTGTTGTTGTTGTTGTTGTTGTTGTTGTTGTTGTTGCTGTGTGCTGTGCTGCTGCTGCTGTTGTTGTTGTTGTTGTTGTTGTTGTTGTTGTTGTTGTTGTTGTTGTTGTTGTTGTTGTTGTTGTTGTTGTTGTTGATCTTCTGTCTATCTGTCTTTCTTTATTCAGTTGTTTGATCTTTGTGTCTTTCTGTATTTTTGTTATTTCCTTGTTTCTCTCTCCTTTTCTTTCTTTCTGTATTGCTTTCCTTCCTTCTTTCCTTTTTTTTCATGTTTTTCTGCTTTTATTTAGTGTTATGTCACCCTTTTGGTTTTTCATTTTTCCTCTGCGACTTCCTTCTTTTGCGGCTGCGTCTCACTTTCTGTCTATCTATCTATCTATCTATTGAAGTAGCTGTCTACCTATTGTTCTGTCTAGCCAACTACCAATCTGTCCATTTGTCGGTCGGTTTCCCTATCCACTTTGCAGATTTCCACCTATCTATGAAGCATCTGTTCGCCGTTTATTTATCCACTCTGCTTGTGTACCTGGCTACCTGGCCATCAAATCCTTCTGTCCATGCACCTACCTTTTCATCGATTTTTCAATCTATGCATCTATGTGCCAGTCGATCTGTCAGTCTATCTTTGTACCTTTTGTCTCCCGAAGCAGGTGCCTTATTTCCCCCTAATTCCTTTCTTTTCTGAAAGCCACGGCTCTTTGCAGATGGAAAGCATTTCCGCGGCACTATTTGGCAGTGCTAGTCTTCAGGGTTTGTGCAATGAAACTGAAACAGCCTTTCATGAATTTTGTTCTGCCGCTTGTGTGTTTTCCCTTCGACAAAGAATCTTGCTACCTGTGCTTGCACGCAATGACGAGAATCTGTTGGTTCCTGGAAAGACGCTTGAGAATCGAATCGTGCAGAATGGACCGCATGGGCTGGGCACGCCTGCTCCAGCCCTCATGCCGTGATTTCTCGCTGTCAACATGGTGTTCAATTTCATGTGTTTGTTTCAAGTCTTTGTGTACGTTCACAAACATCGGCACGTTCATAGCGACCTCATGGTGTTTGCGACCTCATGGTGCAGCGTCCTTCCAAGGAGGCGGACCATTTCTTGCTGCATGAATTCTTACAACGCTAACGCTGCCAGACATAGTTCGGATGAGAGTAGTAGTTTGGGGGTAGTGGAAACCATCATAAAAGATGGACACATGTTGTTTGAGCTTCCCTATGTTCCCACTTAGGTAGCTGTGCCGAGGTACTTCACGGCTGTGGACTTCGACATCGACCGCAAGACCAAGCAGCTGCAGCAGGTTGCCACGAACCACGGCCGGAGAATCGCCGTGTCCCCCAAAGCTTTTGGTTTGTTTGATCCGGGCTGTCTCTGGGATATCAAAGTCAGACACTGCGGTGGTTTGCCTTTATCCCACCACTTGGGGGATTACTTGATAAGGCTGAACAAATGGGCCAAGTTGATGCATATGTTAACTGTTTGTGTTGTTTCTTTGGTCCAGTCTTGGGAAATTGGCCGCAATGGAAACCAACATGGGACATTATTTAAATTGTTCAGACCTCATTCGGCACCCAGCTCCCTGCCGCCCCGAAAGTTTGTTTTATCCTGTTGTTCTTTGCGTTCTTTGCTTGGGTTCCCAACTGTCCGAAATTCCTGTTGACCCAGAAGTTGTTTTGTTTTGAGGGGTTGTTTTGGCTCAACTAGTTTGTGTTGCTATTTTGTTGTGCTTGTTTGGGTCTGTGTGTGTCGATGTGTGTGTGTGATGTGTGTGTGTGTGTGTGTGTGTGGGTGGGTGGTTGGGACTGCCAGCACTTCCTCTATCCCTTTGGGTCCCGTGTTCCTCGGCCGGTGTTGCATATTTCCAGGCAAGGTTTCTTTGTTCTCCAAAGCATCAAACAGCTTCCATCATCTTCTGTCCACCAGGAATTCAGAGGATTCACCCCCCCCCCCCCCGCCCCCCAAACCCCCGGTTCTCTTTTGCTTCAAATACTTAGGGTTCAGTCTCGGGGAAACAGGGGAGGGGGGGAAACACCCACGAGCAACGACAACCAGTTCTTTGCAGATTGTCTTTGATCTGATCCAGGAACATCACCAGCCTGGTCGCCCAAGCCATTGCTGCAGTGCCCAAAGAGCAGGCACCGGAAGCGGTGGCTGCTACAGTATCCGTGGAAACTGCGCCCCGGCGGATATGGGCAAGACTTTTTGTCATAGCACTGCTTTGGGATGGTTCCCAGGGCAACCATAGGGACGACCATCATGGCTAGCATGGGTCATGGACATCATGGGTATCACGATCGCGGGGTCATTTGCTTTGACCGGCGTCGCAGGAAGGGGCCGACCTCTCAGTGCCTCCAGAAGTGGTGGCTATGCTCTCCGATCAAAGCGTCGGAGGTGGGTGAAATGGGACACCGGAGGCCCCCGAAAAGGACAACCCGAAAACGGTACGGGTGGGTGGTGCAAGCAACAGTGGTTGCCAATGCGCCTTTGAGACATTGTAGAAATAATATGTAGACAATCAAACTTGGTACACAGAATCCATGAGCAACAATTACACTTGGTACACAGAATCCATGAGCAAGGGGCTAGCTGAGCATGTTCAAGGGCGGCAACACGCAGCCCCGCAGCCCCGCAGCCCCGCAGGCGGTCAATTCATGTCCACCCACTGCCTGGTGCCCGGTACTTCCTTCGCAAATCTGGCGGTGAAGGTTCTCAGTACCTTGCACGCGTCTAGCTCAGAGACAAACATGTTACGAGTTTGTTCTGGGGTCATTATTTTGATGGTTTCTGGTGGTTATCACAGTCACAAAATGGGGGTGAATTTGATCATGCTGAAATAATGAGGCCAGTTGTTGTGCTCAAACAAAAGGGGACTCCTCATCGAACTTGCCAGACTGAAACAACCAGTCCGCCCTTTGCCATTTTGGTTTTTCTTCATTTGCTTTTTCAACCCAGAAAGAAGGACCGTGTTGCAGTGTGTCTTACTATGACCAAGTTCACAAACATGAAGTCCGCCAAGCCGGCAGCCAATTCACGCAGTACCACTTTGCTTCCGGCTTGATCCATGTGGGAAAAGGGGCACGCCTTTTGGCGGGAAGCAGCCAACTCACTCAAAGCTAAGCCAAACACTGCTGGGTCCCTCGTGGTATGCTTTCTGGGGTCTATGCTGGTGCAATCCCTTTTTCTGTTCTGTGCTTGTAAATGCTGGTTTGGGGATTTGAACTCCTGGTTCTTGTATAGGGCGGTAGGAAGCCTCCCTCAAACCAACCAAAAAACGTAGAGGGAGGCTGAAGCGGAGCTCAGCTGAGGTTGCCGCGCCGAGGACCAGGTTCTCCGGGTGCAGCTGGCGGATTGCCACGGGCGCGTGGAAGGGATCCTCGAGCTGAAAGGAATCTGAATGGCTCGTCATTTCAATGCAACCATCCACCAATTTGGGATATGGGTAACCATCCACCAAGGGGTAGACCCATGGCATGCTTGGATTGTGTAAAATGACGAGCCCGAAGGGGTTTCTTCCTTGGGTCAAGTTGGAGGCAACATGTGGTCAGCCTTATTGGCTTCCACTTGCCATAAAGCTATGTTTGTGTCTGGCTCAGTTCCCGGACTTCAGTCACGTTTTGGCAAGACCAGTTTAGTGGCATACAAAATGTTCGGATTTTTTGTTGGGCCATCACTCATAGGGGTACCTTCCCCATTCTTTCAAGGGATCCTTCTTTCCAATAAACTCACTAAGCCCGGGCAAAACGGCCAGTTTTTGAAAACGCCGGCTGGCGCGAGCGGGCGCGAGGATCAGCTCGGAGGAGTTGACGGTGGGTGCCACGGTGAGTGTGGCAGGCAGCTTGGCCAACGGCTTTAGGCCATGGAATCGGCCGGTCAAAGGCTTGGGTTACAGGACATTCTACAGGAAAACAGCTGATTTTCTGGGGTTCTGGGGCCATTTCCTGTAGCTTTTCCTGCAACCCCTTTGATTGTGGCTCAAGAGGATGCATTTCCATGAGACTCATGCAGTACCATATGTTTTTCTCAGCTTTGGGCCAAAGCACTGGAGACCAATAAAGACTCGAAATGGCCACCCTTTGGGTTCCTCTCCTTTCGGTTCCTTTTGGTCTGGTCGTTTCCATTGTTGCCAACCCCAGGCCAGGCCATCTCCCTGGAGGGTCGACTCTTTCTGCTGGTGCAGCAGGTGGCCGGAGCTTCGGAATGCCATGGGCAAGCCCACGTCCCCCAAGACTCGGAGCTGCGGGCGAAAGTGGCAACCATCTCCGGAACTTTCCATCTGGGTTGCGGGTCAGTCTTTTTTTGGGGGGTGTTTCAGGTCAGTGTCTTTTGGGAACAGGGGAAGCCCTTTCGGGACACAGACCCATCTCCTTGAGTCACGGGAGGGTCTTGGAGCCCTCGAGTTGGGGCCGGGTCCGTGAGACCCTGAACCCCCCCCCAGCCTTGGATCAGCATGCCTCGTGTGGTTCGCGTCTTGCCCGTTGGCAATGCTTAGATTCGGTTGCTGGCAGGTTTCTTCATCATTTTTTCGAGGCCCAACAACAAATAGTCACTTTTTCTTCTCACCAACTTCAGGTGAAATTCGAGCTGCGGGCTTTCTGGGGCATGAGCCAGCACGTCAACCGCAGAATCAAATTGGGGTGGCGGCGCAACCCAATTTCCCGTGTCCATTGGTCAAGCCGCATCGGATGAGGCCTGTCACCTACATGTGGTTTATGGCTCTTGCTGCTCCAGTGATACTGCCTGCGTTTAAGGGATGAGCAACATTGGGATGACCATTGACCCAGTCACCAACGAGCAACCGAGCAAAATGGAGGCTTCCAAACACCTGCCAGATGATGTATGACTTCTGATGAGCTTAGGATTTGGAGGACAGGCAGCAGGTTTGAGCGATTACTGTTCCAACTGCTGCCTGAGATTGGGTCTTACAGGATTTTGACATCCGTGTTCCTGCCTCGGGCCGTTTGATTGAGATCTCATCGAGTTTCAGGCATTTGGTCCATTGGTGCAATGTGTAGTTCACGCCGTTGATGTCGTCTTGCTTGGGTTGGTTTGTGCTTGACTGAGGTTGAAACCTTTGCGGGAAATCCAAAGGATAGCTTCCATGCAGATCCATGACAACAATGAAAACGAGCTAAATCTGAGTCGAGCTCTGAACCATTTGCACTGTTGGGGCAACTCCACTCAGGAAGTGAGAAGTAGGCTTCAGATTTTGGCTGTAATTTGTTGGTCTACTTGATCATTTTGATAATCTGTGCTAGTTTTTCTACCTAGCCTGCTTGAGCACTCAGAGACATCAGAGTGTCGCTCATTTTTTTTGCATTTTGGGAACTCCCATATTTTTGAGCCACATATATTTCTACTTGATTGCTTTGCCGGCTCTCTCCTCCGAGATCGTGGCTTCCTCTCGCGCCGAGGACACGCGGGACTTCGCGAAGGCTACGCGCCGGCAGCGCCCTCGGCGGGGATGGTGCGGCGCTACGGGTGCCTGGTGCTGCGGGGCAAGAAATGCGTCCTGGCGCCTTGGAGCCAATGGCTGCTGTGTGGAACCTCACTCCGCACGTTTTCGGGCTGGAACTTGGACACCTTAAGGAACGCCCAAAACGGGGTGGAAGAAATGTAAGTGTTCAACCCAAGAGTGGGGTGGATCTTGGGCCGAAGCAGAAACAACTCCTGTTGAAGGGGTCTTTCACTGATGGACGAAATCCATTGCGCAGGTTTGTCCTAGTCATAGGATGTCCATCCCACCTGGTGCAGGATTGCGCCCACAGCATGAGGACGGAACGCTTCCACCAATATTGAAATTGCTACGCGATCCGGTGGGGTGCAAGGGATTTTAAGACCTTTTTTCATGTTTTTCATGGAAGTGATGCTGGGGATGCTGGACATGCAAGGGATGCGACCACACAACGTACAGGAACAGACCCAATCTTCGCACCCAAAATTTCAAGACTTTCAGACACTCAAAATTGACCAAGCACAGAAAATACCAGAGATGTCGGGAATGCTGGGAATGCAGCCGGCTGGCCAGCCACAAAAAAGTGCAAAACAACTGTGTTTGTTTTTAACATTCCCCAAAATCAACCATCAAAAGCAGATACCAGCAACCCCCCTCAAATACCCTAAAAATAAACTTGCAAAATCACAATGTTTCGCAGTAACTGCTCTGTACAGGTGGGGAATTGCAAAACACACTCATTTTTGCAAGTTCAAACAGTTCCTCAACGTATCACTGCACTTGGCCCCAGACCCCTAACAGGCCAATTCCCAGCAAAACACCATTTGTATCTGCAAAAAGAAAATCATGGCAGCAAGATAATCCTGATGATGCCGGGGATGCAGATCCTGCACGTCCGAGGGCCCCCTCTGGAGACCTAGGCGAAACGCAGATTTTAGCACGCAAGCCCCAAAAACACTGGACAAATACAGGGTTTTGGACACTCAGCACACCATGCCCAAAAAATGGCAGCCCCAAAAGCCTTCGGCTTTAATAAGAGATTCCGAAGGAAGACCAAGTTGCGGACTGCCATCTACACGCTCGACTGGCGTTGGCGGATTTGAACTGCAGCGTTGGGTCCTTTGGCTCCTGGTTTCTCACTTCCATCGATTGTTGCGCATTTGGCGGCTGCCTGTTCAAATTGCCGCGCACTCTATGATTCTGGACTTGATCAGTTTTGGAATATTCTGCTTAGGAGAGTCCCTATAGGTCTCCTTTGGAACCCAAAAGGAAAGCACTCAGGGCGTTTTGCAGCCTGCTGGCCTCACTTGGCAACCCTTTTTTTCCTTGATCCGTGATCCGTCTTTGGGTCAAAGAGATCGAACCTGCAGTTGCCGCCATAGGCAAGGGACTCAGCTTCAAAGCTCTTCATCCCTACGGAGGAGGCCGATCGGGGTTCCAAAGGGATTGGTCTGCGCAACTCATATCGACCCATCCAAGAAGGAAGTCCCCTTGTGTTCTAGTTTGGGTGGAGTCAAACATCACTAGTTGGCTGCCGATGTTGATTGAGTTTCTCTTTGCAACAATTTGGTGGGGCACATTGCAGGAATCCTCTTGTAGGGTATTGCGGTGACTTTCCGAATTGGAATGTGATGGAAATTTGGTTTGGAAGCAAGCGAACTGCTGGATTGAGGCATAGAATATAAACTTTCAATTATTTTAGTGCCTCCGGCTCAGGCCGCCGACATTACAGGCCTGCTTTCTTATTTGCGTCCCTTTGGAATTGTCCCCTTGCCCCCTTCCCCTCTGATATTTTTGCCCCCCTTTCTTTGTTGAGATCCATTCCCCCTGTCCGCCCTAAGGCCTTTTCTCCCTCTGTTGTTTTCCCTTTTCCTCCCTAAGATGTTTTCACCCCTCTCCCTGTTGAGATCCTTTCCCCCCTTTCCCCCCTAAGGCCTTTTCCCCCCTGAGATCTTCTCCCTTTGCCTCCCTAAGATCTCCCAGATCGTCTCCCTTTCCTCCCTAAGATCTTCCCCCCCCTTTCCTCCTTAAGATTTTTCCCACCCTTTCCCTGTTGAGATCCTTTCCCCCCTTTCCCTCCCAAGGCCTTTCCCCCCCCCATGAGAGCTTCTCCCTGTTCCTTCCTAAGATCTTTCCCCCCCTTTCCCTGTTGGGCTTCCCCCCCTAAGTCCTTTTCTCCCAGATCTTCTCCCTTTCCTCCCTAAGATCTTCCCCCCCCCCTTTCCTTCCTAAGATTGTTTCCCCCCTTTCCCTGTTGAGATCCTTCCCACCCTTTCCCCCTGAGGCCTTTCCCCCCCTGAGAGCTTCTCCTTCCTTAGATCTTTCCCCCCTGTCCCTGTTGGCCTTTTTTCCCCCAGATCTTCTCCCTTTCCTCCCTAAGATCTTTTCCACCCCTTTCCCTGTTGAGATCATTTCTCCCCTTTCCCCCCTAAGGCCTTTGCCCCCAGATCTTCTCCCTTTCCTCCCTAAGATCTTTCCCCCCCTTTCCCTGCTCAGATCCTTTCCCCCCTTTCCCCCCTAAGGCCTTTCCCCCCCTGAGATCTTCTCCCTTTTCCTCCCTAAGATCTTTTGCCATTTTTCCCTGTTGAGATCCATCCCCCCTTTCCCCCCTAAGGCCCTTTCTCCCTCCGAGTTTTTCCCTTTTCCTCCCCACGATGTTTTCCCCCCTCTCCCTGTTGAGATCCTTTCCCTCCTTTCCCCCCTAAGGCCTTTTTTCCCCCTGCGATCTTCCCCCTTTTCCTTCCTAAGATCTTTTCCCCCCTTTCCTTGTTGAGATCCTTTCCCGCCCTTTCCCCCCTAAGGCGTTTTCCCCCCCAAGATCTTCTCCCTTTCCTCCCTAAGATCTTCCCCCCCCCCTTTCCCTGCTGAGATCCTTTTCCCCCTTTCCCCCCTAAGGCCTTTCCCCCCCCTGAGAGCTTCTCCCTTTTCCTTCTTAAATCTTTTCCCCCCTTTCCCTGTTGGGCTTTCCCCCCTAAGTCCTTTTCTCCCAGATCTTCTCCCTTTCCTCCCTATGATCTTCCCCCCCCCTTTCCTCCCTAAGATCTTTCCCACCCTTTCCCTGTTGAGATCCTTTCCCCCCTTTCCCTCCCAAGGCCTTTCCCCCCCTGAGAGCTTCTCGCTTTTCCTTCCTAAGATCTTTTCCCCCCTTTTCCTGTTGGCCTTTTTTCCCCAGATCTTCTCCCTTTCCTCCCGAAGATCTTTTCCACCCCTTGCCCTGTTGAGATCATTTCTCCCCTTTCCCCCCTAAGGCCTTTTTGCCCCAGATCTTCTGCCTTTGCTCCCTAAGATCTTTCCCCCCCCCCCCAGTTCCTTGTTGAGATCATTTATTTCCCCCCTTTTCCTTCTAAGGCCTTTTCCCACCCTCAGTTCTTCTCCCTTTTCCTCCCAAAGATCTTTCCCCCCCTTTCCTCCCTAAGTCCTTTTCCCTGAGTTCGTCTCCCTTTGCCTCCCTAAGATCTCTTCCCCCCTTTCCCGCTTAAGATCCTTGCCCCCGTTTCCCCCCTAAGGCCTTTTCCCCCCAAGATCTCCACCCTTCTCTTCCCAAAGTGTTTTTCTCTCTTTCCCGATTGAGATCCTGTCCCCCGATTGCCCCTTAGGGCATGTTCCCCCCGAGAAAGATTTATTTCCCTTTTCCTCCCAAAGATCTTTTCCCCCCTTTCCCCCTTAAGGTTTTTTTTCCTCAGATCTTCTTCCTTTCCTCCCTAAGATCTTTCCCCCCTTTCGCTGTTGAGATCATTTCCTCCTTTCCCCCCTTCATTTCCTTCACCAACATAGGCAACATCCCCAGCATCACTTGCATCATCCGCATCCTTGGCAGTCGCTGATGCGGATGATGCAGGTGATGCTGGCGATGTGCCGCTGGAGCTGCTAAGGATGCGAAAGCGCACCTAGGGATCGAACACCCCAATGTTTTTGACAAACTGAGTTGCGCAAGCCCGCACAATGAACAGATTTAGTGAAGCGTCTTCGAATCACTGCGTGGTACGTGGGCCCCCCCCCAATGCTGCCCCTGGGGAGGGGTTAGGGGAGGGGTAACAGGTAAAGAGGTAAGAAGCAGTTCTTATGTCCAACCCGCCGCCTGTTGTCGGCGGATTTGTTCCATAGTTGGTTTCCCTTTGGCGGTCCCTATAGAGCATCCTCTTTGCTTTCCTGTGGGGGAATGCCTAGGCTCATTCCCAAACCCTGGGTCATTCCCTGCAGAGCACCAGCAAGCTTTAGTGCTTTGTTGTGAAAGCGGAGCAATGGCCCTGGGCCCTGTTTCCTCCGCCGATTTATCAAGAAAATGAGGGCTTCCATCTGCGGACCTGGGGCCAGCCGAATGCCATCACAAAGCCCCATCACTTTTCCCCGTTTTTCTCGGGGAAACAAGTGGAGGGGTTTGTCCTGGCCTTCAAGAACCCACCCAACAATTGTAACCCGAACTCGAACCCTAGACCCGAAAAATGCACCTAGAAAATTACACCGATCTTATTTAAGGTCGGGAAGTAAAAAGGGAAAGGGGGCCAGAAGTCGGCACCCCAAACCCTACACCCAAAAAGATGAGCCTTAAAGTCCCAAACCCTCAAGCCTAAAACCTGCGATCCGGACAGGCGCAGTACCAGGAGCTGCCGCAGCAGGCAGCCGTGAGAGCGCTGGCAGAAGCCTGCGACATCTACCCCGAGGCAGATCGGCTGATTCTTCGGGGCAAAGTTACAACTTGCTGGGGAGATAGGGAATGTGGGAAGGGACTCCCCTTAAATAAAACCACCTACAACTTGCTGCTGCGATAAGCAAGGAACGTGGGAATGAACCCTGGCGGTGATCCCCGTAAAGGAAACCAAAAAGTTGGATGGTTTATAAGCGAGTCATTTCCGCATCCCCTGCTGAGCACCAGCAAGACAAGGGCCATTTTGGTGTATTGGAGTTTGGCGTCACTTGTCAAACTGCATCAAGGTTGAGTTGGCAAACTGTTGAACCCTTTGTAGATGTTGGCAGGTGTCTTTATTATGTTGGTCAACGATACAAACAACGTCAACTTTCCGGCCAGCAAGTTGGTCAGTATCCCGGGGCAAACTGGACCACATGTCAGATTGCTGCATTTCTTCTGCTGTGGGGAATCTAACAGATGATCAAACCACAGCATAACAACCGCTGTCAGCCTGAAGAACACGACTGCAACGAGGGTACACAATTTGTTTCGTCTCCCTCGGGCCAACTTTCTACCGTTTGCCCTTCGGGTCGAACTGGAGCAAACCTGTAAAACTTGCTGCAGCCGTGTTCAGGCAGACGGGTCTGTTATGTTTGTCTTACTGTCCACGGAAGCTCCATTTGTTTTGATTTGTTTGGAAATCATGTTTGTTGAAAAGGCCGCGTGTTGTAGAACAAATCAAGTGCAGATCTTTGGGTAAGGACCCGCCCAGTTCCACATGATTCCATTTGTTCGACCAGATTACCTCTTTGCAAACGAGAGTTGGAACCCAAAGGGGCCCCCAAAACTAATATTTTGGTAACAGGGGACTCGCGGATTCGCTTTGCTCGCCATGCCAGGAGTTTGTTTTGCTCCGCGACGTGGCACCGGCGGTTTTCTACGAGACCTCGCCAGGCACGGCTGGGCTTGGGGACGCAAAAGGGGGCAGTTCAAGCACTGGCGTTTTGCTTCATCGTTTTCGGTTCTGTTCATTTTAGTAGGGGGCTGCAAAAAGCGCAGTTTTTTTGCTACCACGCCAAGGATTGGAGAGTTAAACCACCTTACAGGGCCTGGGCCGAAGAGCTCCTTCAGTGTCAAGAGGTTTTTAAATAGAAAACGTCAGGTCCCGGGCGGTTGGGCTCTGAGGCCCTCCGGTCGTCACGACCATCTTCCCGGCGCTGGCGACGAACCCGCCGCCTCCTGGGACGTCCGAGGAAGAGGACAGAAGCTGGAATTACATGGCCCTTTTGTCTCCTAGGTCCTAAGGAAACCTTATGGGCCTATGGAGCACTGCGGTCCACAGGTGAGACTGGGGGCCCTTTCAAGAAGAATCAGAAGTCTAACCTTTTAACTGGCTGCAACCTCGGCAGAAGGCAAAGTTTGAGGCACAGTGAGTCTAAGGGCTAAGAGTTGGATCAGGTTGAGCAACTCATGAGGTTCAGCAGTGGAAGCAACCACTTTTTTTGCGCCAGGGCCATATGGACCGACAGATGTTGGTTTGGCCATGGGAGCTGAATAGCAAGCTTAGCGAGGAACGCCGCCGCGAGCTTAGCCATGAAGGTTCCTTTGCTTGGGTGTCCTTGTTGCAGGTTGGTGAAATCGTATATTTTACCCGAATGGTTTGCGGCCAGCGGGTGAGGTCTCTTCCAACATCTTCCAACTTTCTGACAAGACTTTCCGGCCATACTTGAAGGACCCCCTCCCCCCTCCGATTTATCAGATGCTGTGTGGTCATGTCCATTGCCAGGAGGTTCTTGATGAGGAGGATGATTCTCAGCTTACACAAAGCGTCCTTTGCCAGATCGTCGCAAAGGAGAACCGAGTTATGAGAAAATTAGATGTTCAACACACTTCAGTGTTGCTCGCTCACTATTTGGGAGATCAACTTGCGAATGTCTATACCGGGCACAGCTGCGTCTATTTCATATTGAAATCTTCGGAAAGAGGCGCAATCCATCAAGTCGCATGTCGGGCTCGTCTCAACGTCTTGTGGCTGTTTTCGCCGGTCTTCACAACTGGAAGTATCTCACCCCGCGACTTCGCGCAGAACCTGCCAATTGTGTGCTGCACTTTTCGCACCGCATACCTTCAGCAAGTGAGCGGTTTATGTTCATTGTCCCCAACGTTGAGTCCCAAGGCCATCAAACCCGCTGAATGTGGGAGCGGGAAACAGGCCAGGGGGTTCTGTGAGCCGCTGGAATCTTTTTTCATGTGGGGAAGAATCCCACTGCAAACGGCCGATTTCCCACAACCGCGCACCCCAGGGAGGCCGTTGGGGAGCTTAAAGCTGGCCTCATTATTTTACCCCGATCAAAGTCACCTCCTAAGTGGTGGGGATTTTTGGGAGACAACGCCATTTTCCGACTTTGATAACTCCCATCACTCCCAGACACCGTCAAGAGAATGACGGCACCAGGCACCCCAAAGGGTCTGCGCCCAGGCCTACGACTGGTTCCGCTACGACTCGGCCCACCGGCTGCTTGCGCTCAACGAGCGGCGCGCGGTCACACGCCTGGCCATGGACGTCGAGGCCGCGGTGGGCGCCAACGTTGTGACGCCGTCGCTGCTTGACTCTGAGCGGATGACGTGTGTGGGTACTGGGCTAGGTCCCCCAGTAGTGCCCTTTTACCTTTTTTTGGGGGAGGGTTCCCCTACTAAATAGACCACAGAAAAAAGAGGCATTCTAACCTCTCTACTGGAAGACCTAGCGGGGATGGTTTTTGGCGCATCCTTTGGCTGAGGTTTGGACAATCGGTTGAAGTTAGTGTGTTATTTGCCGCCGGCTTCCTGGTGTTCCTGGATTGGAGTTGGAATGACGTTTGGCTAGGTTTTGGACAATCAGTTTAAGTTAGTGTTCGAGCTCTAGTGGTAAAGCGAGAAGTCACTCATGGGTTTTATCTTCCGGCGTCTTTCTTGTTTTGTTGTTTTGGAACTGAAGTTGCAGAATAGTAATTCGGGTAGATTGATGCAAGGCCAGCTGTACCATGGCCACGAGTGTGGGGTGGGGATGGTTTTTGCGGCAACTCAGTGCCCAAGTTTGGGAGACGTGCAAAAGCTATGGATGCGAACTTTCCAAGACTTTAGGACGCTATGAAGCTCTAGACCCTAGCGAGGACAATTGCCATTCTCTCATATCTGTTTTCCCCGCTTGGCACCCCTTTTGTATCATGTCCGCCTGACTTTACTGGTCAAGTCTCCTCAAGCGAGATAAGTGGAAGCAAAGTGGGACGCGCAGCAATCACAGAACCACTGCCCAGGGTTGCCCAGAAACAACGTCTGCGGGATACTTTGTTCAGGCCCGCCTAGGTTTGTCAGGGACAGCCATGAATGGGTTGCGGGCTGCAGGCTGGAACTCCGGCTCTGATTTTAGCAGGCTTGACTGAGTGGTACCCTCCCACCAATCGTGAAACTCTGATGGAAATGCAGACTGCAACCTTTCAATAGGAGTCTATGCTAAGCGTTGCAGTCGTTGCAGTTTCATTTGTGTAGGGTACATTGACTAGGCTGGCCAACTTTTGAGAATAAGCTTGTTAAGGGGACATCAATGTCCCAACTGCCATGGCCCGTGCCAAACCTTGACCAGACAGCTGGCTTGGCAAAGAGGATGGCAATGTTTCCTCGAATTCGAGGCTTCTCTTCAGCAGGCTGAGTTTCAATGAATTGGCCAAAAAACCGCCCATGTCAGACTGGTCCGGCCACATCATAGGTTCCTCACAGAAGGGATTTGCAACCTCACCCCATGATGATGCTTTTTGTATATATATATACATATATACACCTTTTATAGAGAGCCCTTGCTTTGAGGTTGTGAAACCTGAGACAATTCGACTATCACTGAGTTGTTTTTTGGACACACCCGTGTCACCTTTACATGGCGCGCAAGCCAAGAAGCAGGGCGTACCGGGTTTCAATTTCCTGCTGAGGTTTCCCTGCACCTTCGGCCCTGAACCAGATATGCCGGACATGCCGGAGGTGAGCCAGGGCTATGCAAGAAGGCCCTTCAAGAGAGGCAAGAAGTGGGCCGCCTGCAAGGATGGCTGCTGCTACTTGGTGGCGTCATTTGTTTCGCGCTTACTGTTGCTTTGTGGAAGAACAATTTAGCGGGAAGATCACGCGTGGTTCAATTGATGCAGACATCTAGTTGTTTGAGCTGCTTGAGCCAAGCCAAAGTGGGCTCCTTTGCTTGAAGTTGGGCGGTGTTCAAAAGAGTGCTCCATGATCAGAGTCTATCAGGCGAACGGGTCACGGTTGCAGCATACTTAACTCATGTCCCAATCCACTGATTTTGGTTGTCCGTGTGTATCATGTCACTTTGTGCCGCACAGCTGTAAGCGCAAAGAGTCCAGTGATACCTGCGAATGATATACTTGTTTGGCAATGCGGTTTGCCGCCTTTTGATGGGTTTTGATATTATCGTTAGGTGAGTTGTTTGCTGGCTTTTTCAAGTCCCTGTGGGGCATTCGTGAAAAGCGCGCCCGCCACATTCGCTTAGGTTGACGAGTCGAAACCGACTTCGCACTTCTGCGGGCCGCACGGACGGCCCGCGGCATCTACGACTCTTGCGACGTGCTCGGTCATCGGCTCGGAGGTAGCTCCAGTGGCTAACAGCTCGCCGATGGATGTTGGTGAAGTGCACCATTCCCCTGATCCCTGGTAGACTTATATGGCACACCAATATGCCAAGAAGTAGTCTTTCAGAAAACCATGGTGTTGTGGGGGCTCATGTGTTTGTCCGCAGAGGAGAGACTGGAGCATCGAGAGCACAACATAAGCAGATGATCGGTTTTAGACCTCCTGAGTGACTTATGCTGTACTCATTTAAGGTCTGTTGCCACACATGAACTACAACCTTAGCAATCTGCAGATTTTTTTGGGGCAGCCATATCTAGCGCAATGGTGTCCGGAAGTGAGCATGCGATGTCAGGCTGAGGCTTCCACTTATTCCTGCAACAACCACAAGACATCTCGTTGTTCTCCTAATGCCAGCATTTGTATCCGGTGCCTATGCCCAGTCTGAAATATTGCCTCCCCCAGCCCTTGTCATTCTGATTAATAGTGTTTGCAAGATTCAGCATTCACCCGTCGAGCTGTGCTAGTGCACACTGTGGACATGTGGCAACGGCCAAATGCGCGATGCCAGCTGCTCGAGTTTGCAGTACTGCGAGGAAGAGGCGCAGACAAACTGCGCCTGAGTGTGGAAAAGTCTCTGCTTGCAGACAAGCAGGAATTGAGCTTTCATTTAGTGACATGCTTAATCATTGAAATCAAAGTGAGCTCCTGTGTCATCATTCCCTGAAAACCTTAGTCTTCCTGGTCCCAATCAGGTGATGTACCCAGTTTGGGCGACCTACTATGGACGAAGTCAATTCGCGCCACATGGTGGAAACCATTGTTACGCGGGAATCATGTCAGGGTTTCCGAGGTGCGTGCTTTCGTCCACAGTATTCTCATAAGTGGAGCCTCTGCCGTGCCCAAGGCGGTGCGGCGGCCACGCTTTGCCCGGCAGCTGAAGTCGCGGAGGCGCGTGCCTCCGGGCGCTTTGTTGGAACCTGCGGCTGGTGTTTGCTCGGTGCACACCCGCAAGCCAAATCCGTAAGACGTAGCATTTTGACCGGAAACTGGCATTCCGTTCCCTCAAAGTGGTGGAGCATTCAAATTGCCAACACAAAGTTTGGAGGTGGTATTTATGAAACCACCTTTTGCCCGGAAGTTTGGCGGCTCTGACTTACGGCGGTCTTTTGGCAAGCTGAGGCAGGAAATATGAGAGGTGTTGAGATGGCATTGTCGGAACATACCGCCTTCCCCACCACCAACAAAATTCATTGTTGTGGCGTCAAGTGCGTGTCGTGTTTGATGGAGTTTTTGTGGATGTTATTTGTCGAGCTCCGTTTGACTCTGGAGTTTCAGTCTACAGGGGGTTGGTTGAACGGTTTGGCCAGATGTGGCTGTTGAGCTCAGATCTGAGATGATCAAACTTGGCCACTCCACAAAGTTGGACCCAGATGGATACCTAAGCCCCGCCCCCAGTTACTAATCAGGGGGGCTTCAGGAAGAGAGTAATCCACCAAACAAGGACCACCCTCAGGAACAACTGGCGGGTATCATTGAGGGGGGTTAGTTGATCAGCTTTTACAACATGCTTGCGCTGTCATTCCCTCCTGGTCGGTCTATAGCCTCTGATAAGCGCCTTCGCAGGAGTATGAGGAGAGCCTTGGTCTTCAGAGGCTTTGAAACAAGTTGCTGTTCTGGAGGGCCTACTCGGACGTCTTAGTATCAGGATACCTTTTCTCGGCTTTGGGATTTAAACCGCAGTTCCTTTTGAAGCCAAATGGGGAAGGCACCCACCCCCCTTACGGCCAAACCACCAAACCAAATCACCAACTAAAGGGAAGCGACAGTAAGCAGGTCATGACCAGAGTTTCAAGCGACAGCCGGGTCGGTTGACTTATGACCAAGCTCGGTCGGTTGGACATGCACGTAGCTGACGATTCCCAGCTTGCACGATTCCATCCGCGCAGGTCTGCGCTTCTCTCGCTTTTGCGAGATAAGGACTGCTTGTTTTGGTGGCTGGTTTGTTCAGCTAAGCTGAGTCAAAATTCTCAGAATATGGGCACTCGACAGGCCCCAGGCATCGCCGGGATTGCTGCAAACAGCATGGACCCGACTTGAAATGCTTGCAGCTGAGGTCGTTTCGGGGTGTGGATTGAAGATCACGCATGCAGCTTATCTCGATATCAGATGCACTGCGGTTCTTCCAGGTACACCAAGTGATAAAACCGTCTAAACCTCAGAGAGACTTCAAGGAGGCAATCAATCAAGAGCAGCTTTGCACTTTTTAGTAGCAGGCAGTTTGCTCTCTTATCCTGAAGCAAGTAGCAAACCAGAAGTACATATATAAACATGTATTTCATCAAGCGCTCGGGTTGATTTCCCCAAAAGGGAAACACCTGGGTTTAAGTCGAGCTTGGGGTAGTCAAAAACAGAACCCTGGTTGAGCCGTACTTTTCAGCCAGGAGGCCTCCAAAACCGAGTCGCTGCTGGCACTGGCGGACTTGCGTCGTGATGGGCTCGGCGAGGCGGGGTGGAGTCCGGCCGTCACCAATATTTGTTATTATTTGTTTTTCCCGCAGGTTCCGTGAAGGATTTCTCTGGCTTTTGGAAAGATGGGGGATGTTTGCATAGGTTGTACTTTGTATTGTTTGCAGGTCACCCCTTTTGAGTCGACAGCCCCTTGTTCTTGAATGATCGCCTTCCCATGCTTGAAAAGGAATGAGTGCAGACGTTGTTGGGCCTGATCAAGTGCAGGCGGGTTCCCTGTTCCACGCTTTGGATGGGCATCCGTTCTTAGGAACAAAGACTTCACTCTTTTGAACGCAATCCTGTGTCCAAACATGTTAAAGCAATTCACTAAACACCAGAACCCTGTTAAGCAACATCTTCAAGATTGCAAACCAGCTTGAATCTTCTTGAATTCTCAGCCTGTTGAGTTCTCACAGCTTCAATTCACTTTCCGGTTGCTCAACTCGTTCCTTGCCAACGTCCCTCCCCGCTTTCGCGCCATGCCGCGTGCTTTCTCGCTGTCCCGCTGTCTCGCTGTCTCGCTGTCTCGGCTCCGAGCACTCCGCTCGAGTCTCCGAGGCGGCGCCGGTGATCCGGGCACTGGGCCTGAAGAGCCTCTGGCCGACGGCCCTGGAGATCCTCGAGGCCGAGCCTCGGGCATGGATGGTGAAATGAGCCGGAGTTTTGCTTTTGGTCGCTGAAGACCAAGGAGGGTTGTGGTCTTCTTGCTGGTGGGTTTCATGGGAATCCTACAATGTGTTGGAAATGGCGGTTTTTGCTTTTTGAGACTTCAGGGCAAACGTAAACCAGCAGCAGCCATTTGAGGGGATTTCAGTTTACAAATACCCAAATAGGTCAGAGACTTGAAAGTACCACAGACTGGGGAAAGCAGGGAGGTAACCGTTTGGGAGCGGGAAGAAATGGGCATGACTGCCGCAGAAACTAGCCCTCGCGCCCGAGTCCCCGCTTCTTTGTTTGCCCAATGGTGATGATAATAGCTGTGTACTGACAATCATGATAGAAATAGGGATAATAGAAATGATAATGATAATCATGGAAACCATGATACTTCAATTTCCCCAAAAGAAAGGCACAGGGATGGGGGCGGGAGTATGTTCAGACGTGATTTGTCACCTGGCTAGGCTTTCTGATCCCCTTCCCCCCTTTAAGTGTGGCTGCAAGGGTGTAGGGGTACCCCAGTTTGGCTGTAGTGTTCGTTGGACTCCAGGGCCCCCTTTGCAGGGTTGTTTTTGAAGGTAGGTTTGCTTAGTGCGATGCAGTTCAGGAACAGTCATGGACTTTGCGGTGACACCCCAAGACCACTAGCAAATGCATGGAAGTGCCCTGAGCGAGCAGAAGGATGAGAATGAGACGTGAGAGGCCAAGTGCAGGAGTTTGGTATGTGGGACAGGCGACTGTTCAATTTTGATCATGGTGACCCCCCTCCCCGTTCCCCGTTGCATGCATCCCAGTAGTTGCATAGGCTTCCATGGCCGTCAAGTGCAACGTTGGTTGGTGAACTTCTAGTAGTATCCATGCAAATCAACGAGTTGTTGGGCTCGATTTGTTTCCCTTTGGCCCCTTGCACCCTTCGCAGCCTCCATATGAGCGGCCGACCAATTAACCAACAAGTATATACTGATACGGTCCGAATACCGGAAGTAGTAATTTCCTGCAAAACGAGGTGCCCCCCACCCCGATTGACGAGAACACGAACAAACAGCGAGATGGACGTGATTAATCATAGTTTTGAGAGCGGCCGTGACAGACCAGGCTTTGAGTTTCCTGCCGGCTTGGCCCGACTAGCTGTGGCAGCTAAGCTTTTCGCAGGTTCCCGCCGTCGGCCCGACGGACCAGGTGATGAACTTAGTTTGAGGTATATTTTTGTTTGGGACCCCGGGCTCTTGACACACAATGAAAGCCTTCCAAACAAAAATCAGCCCCGGGCCACGTTGAAAGCCTACAGGTTCAATGAGATCTTGGATCCCACCGAACCATTTCTGCTCCAATTTCGAGGAGCCGCTTGATGCGGCTACCAGCGCCCGGCCAAAGGCGGGACTGCATGTGCGGATTGGTTGTCCAGTGGAGCCTTGTTGGGGTAGGTTGCGCCATGCCTTTTGTTGCCTGCTGTTTGTTGTCAAGCGTCCATGAACATGAGAGATTGATTTGTGGGCAGTTGCACCCAGTGGTGTTTGTTTTCCATTTTGTTGGAGGGATTCCCTTCAGTACCTTTTGTGACTTCCAGGGTTTCCCTTCAAACTCAGCCAGACATGTCCTGTTTTCGGGCTCGTTGCCGGCAGGCTGGAGGTTTGGGGACCATTTCCTGGTTCTTGTAGAGGGTCACCGAACCAATTGGAGCCATTTGTTTGACTTGTAAGCCATGTCTTCACCCTAGGTTTGGTCAAGATTTGCGCTCCATTGATTTTTCTTTAACCGAA